GATTAGTCACAATGAACAAAATTGAAAAACTCTTTCACATTTCACTTGTGACAATTTGCTAAGCATTTATTAAAGAGATAAGACACACAGCTGATTTTGCCTGTGAATTTAACTTGCTTTGAAAAATATGCGATATTTCTGAACAATATTATGTTCATGCATGTTTGCGACAGAAAAAAAAGATACATAATGCTCAGAAATGCCTCACTTGTTAATATGGAATTTTGAAATGCTATATTTTATTTTAAATAATAAAAAAAAAATAAAAATGGGCATCAAAATTCCAAACTAACACCTTTTTTACCCTGCTGCAGTAAAAGTTGAAGAAGATAATTGTTAGGAGTATAAACGGAGATGTAAAGAATCATGAAATTTTTTGAATACGAGTCCTAAAATCATTCGAAACTCTTGAAATCGAATCACTCGAATTCTTCCCTTACAAATAATAATAAAAAAGAAAGAAACTATTTCAATATTAAAAAATTCTTATTAAAGGAGAATTTGAAGTGTGCGTTTAATGAAGCACACATTTATAGCTTTTAAAAACACACCCATACTTATTAAGGTAAAAGTAAATGTAATAAATAAAGTGCATTATTAACCCTTTGAATTAAAAAAGTAAATCATCTGTTTCCTATCCAAGTGAACAAAATATGATATAAATAAGGTAAATTTAACATTTGGGATTTTTCTGACAAACAGTTTTCAAGCCAAAGGCTGGGACACCATATGTTCCAGTCGTAGTTAATGGTGGGATACATATGTCCCACACATAGCGATCTATTTACTATAAGCCCACCTATTTTATTCTGGGAAACGTTATTATATGAAATAGATTTACATCCTCAGGTACAGAGTAAAACATTCTTTGCATAACCCAACATTACACATTAGGCATCTCATACTTGTTCTTTTCTCTGTATTCATTTGTGTACAACGAGCACAGCGGCTTCTTGATTTTTCAGCTATTGATAGATGATCCCCAATATTCAGAAGATTCTTAGCAATATTCGATCCAGGAGTAATTTTTAAACTTTTGGCTCATATATGTTCCGTTAATAGTCAAAGGTTTAAAACTCTTGTATTTTGAGGTTAATTTTGTGAACATAATTTCGAAAAAAACTAAACTATTAAAGTTCAAACAGCTAAACAGTTAAAAACTGAACTACTAAAACTACTAAAGTTCAAATAGTTAAACAGTTAAAAACTGAACTACTAAAGTTGAGATTTTAATTTTTCTAGAATCTCTTTAAATCAAAAGGGTATTAGAGATTACAGTTAACACAGATAAATACTAAATATCGAATACTAAATCTCCGCCAGAAATTTACACAAGTTAATGCTTTTGACACAGGTATTACTGAAATTGCAGCAATCGTGTTCTTTTTTTAAATGAACACTTCTACTGGACGTCAATGATATAAATCTTTTCAAATTATCAAATTAAAATATTTATAACTTTTAGGTCAGGATTCGGTTAACAAAAAAGCATGAAGATTTGATTTTGTAATTTCTAATCTTTGTGAAGATTAAAGATATTCGAATATCCCATTCCTAACTGTATACACTAATAACTAAATTCACAATTCAAAAAGTAACTTCTACGTTGGAAATTTTAACCAAGTGTAATCCTTGAATGTAAGGAATCTTGGACCTGCAACATCCTGCAAGCACAGCGCTTCAGAAACAATACTTTTTTAGTAACATCTTATCATACGCATAAACTACATGTGTGCGACCCTTCTATTTTCGACGACACAATGCTTGAGATAAGTTTCTCTGAAGATTAATTATCTGTTACGCAGGTTACATGAATAATCTGTAACATGGTAGCTAATGAATAAGTGACAATTTTATGAATTTAGGAAACATGAAAAAATAGACGAAGAAACCGTGGAACGCATTAGAATATGTTGACCGATGGAACATTTTTCCTCAGGCATTACATAAATATGTGTCTATGCTTGTTACCATATTTATTCATACAGTGATATTTCTTTGGTGCTCTTTAATTTTTATAAAGAAAGTTATATAATTTGGAGTTATTTGCGATAGATGATGCATAGCCCATCTTAAAACACTTAGAAAGATTATTTTGGATATCAGCAAAAGCACAGTACATGGTCTCATTGCCGCCATGAACACTATTCGATCGTCTTTTGTAAATAAACTACAGGAAAGTAGATATCTGTACTTTTGGATAGTACCGATAAAAAGAATATTTAGTGGTTGCGCAGGAGATTGTTATTTTTGTATAGCTCTAACTATAGAAGAAATTTAAACAGCTAAAGTATGTGCATTTCCTTAGCCTTTATTCAGGAATAAAGCTAATACATTAGAATGATTGGTTTCTCCACGGCAACCATATATTTGCATTGTAGATAAAGATGAGTAAATAAAATCAGGCCTTATAACCTTGCTTTTGACATGGAATTAAGGAAATTTAAATATAAATTGCCTGAAGAAAATCTTTAGGCATGAAATTCATTCGTAATGATGTACAGATTTCAGCATATGGTGATCAAAGACAAAATTAACGTTTACCAAACGATGCCGAGATATGTTATAGTAATTATATTCTCAGTCTGATGTTTACTTTGGAATTTTGATTGAAGCCGCAAAAATGGCTATTACTTACTGAAAATTTAAAAGCTAGTTCAAAAGCAGCATTGCCACGTATTGGAATTAAACGTATTTCTATTCTTGTTGGGCATACTTCAATAAAGAAGAGTTATTCCATCTTGAAAAAGGCCATTACTTGTACTCAAATGTACTGTTTTTAAATAGAAAGCATGCAAATATTTCAAAAGCATTTCATTTTTACTACGAATGCAACTAGGTAGAATAAATATTCAGGTTTCGACTGCGAGTAGGACAGTCGTAGCATACTGATGCATTGCCGTATAACGAAGTGGTCTGCAAGATTTTTTTAAAAATATGATATTACGAATATAGTCAACAAACCTCTTGTAGTAATAACGTGGCTCCCTGATCCATGGTTATTTGTTAGCGAAGCTCGCTGCAGTATCGCTGGGCCCAAGTTCGAATTAAGGAGAATGCATTACATTTTGTAAACGTATAGTGCATGTGTGGCATGGGAGCACTTAAAATACTTAAAATCAGACGTCCTTTCGAGAGGTTTATAATGAGAGAAGAGAGGTAGGATTCATAATATATGATGTGCTTTATCAAAATTGGAGGGAGCTCTATAGATAGTACGTTGATGACTATACTGTAAAACGTTTGGTGAAGTTCTGGTATACCACCCATTTTTTGTCCTTCCCTGTAGTAAAACTGAACACAGTATTTCCGCAACTCAATACCAAACAGAGATTAGCGAAAAATGTCGTAAAGTTATTGGACTGGAACGGTAAAGTATGCAAAATCACATGAGTTTTTTTTTTTTTTTTTTTTTTTTTTTTAACTGACTGTTAAAATACAATAAAGCATATTTATTGCGTCAACCATTCGAAAGCTCAGTCAAATGTCAGTTTTCAATTTTTTTTTTTTTTTTTTCAAAAAGTAAAAAAAAAAAAAAAAAAAAAAACAAGTACTGCTGTTAACTAAGATAAGAACGTCGTTCAAAATTGCATAAGTAGTACTAAAGCCGCAAATTAAAAGACCATAATTGGAAAGTCAAAAATTGGGTTTCGAAATTGCACTTCAGTCTGCGATGAAGACAGCGAATAATTTCGCAAACAGATATCTTCTCATGTCTAACAAATTACACACTCTTCAAAAGAGTATAAACGGAAATACTGTATTATTATTAGAGCATTTCATGCACTTAAAATAAATCTAGCTATTGCAAAATGTAGTATACGATTCGTAATTTAACATATGTAAGGATATTATTATGACAAGTAAAATTATGTTTTATTATGGTAATGTAATAGGAAAGAAATGTCGTTACAGTTTCTATATGAAATTAAGAACTAAACGTTTCGTAAAAAAAGGTTTCATTATTTGTGTGTTTTCCAATCAATATTGTGAAAAGAAGCGTGTGATCGAAAATGAAAGGAATTAAAAGATACATTTTTATTGAAGAGTAGAAGAATCATATCCATCGTATTCACCAAACAAAAACTAATTCGTAAGATAACTAATCTTTCATCAAAATAATACAAGAACACAACATACATTTTCGACGCAAAAACATTGAAACTGTGCTTCTAATCCACAAGCTATGATTTAGGCATATTTACCTGGCTTACTATTTACTTAAATACTTTCCAAAAACAATGTAGAATATTTTTTGCAAAAATGTCCAGTTTAAGGTCGTATCCGCGTCTCTCTATCACAACAATACTACGTAACTCGAGGACAGTGCAGTTAGAGTGACATGGGTGCAAACGTTTCAAATTAAATACGCAGAATGTTATGCTACTTATGCCAGTTTTTATTGAAAAATCCTCGCAGCTAAAGAACGCTTATATGGTAGGTATCTATAAGGCTTATATATATGGTAAATACATAACCAAATAGATAAGTTAACAGAACTCTTGTAGTTTGACAAACTTCAATTCTTGGCGATTGAAACAAAAGACTTGAAAGGAGAAATTTGGCAATTCCCCCAACATGAAGTCAGTTCCAAGAAGATTAATTTCCTTATAAAATTCTGCACAAAGCTATACAACATAAATAATTCTCGAAGGCATTCCATCCCCTAGCTGAACGAAACAGCTCTAACAGAACAAACCCCCTTCCCTTAATACGGAGACTTTGAAAAATGCTACGTATTAAGTTAAATATCTCAACTATTTTTTTAAGAATCCCTTTGTTCATTAGAATCAATTTTAAGCATGCCAAGCAATTTACGGAGAAGGAACGCCGAAAATTTTATCAGCATCCAATTAACGGTTCTTTCGATATAATGTTTTCAAGGCCTGTCAAGGTAATCGAAATAGCAATGAACACATTCCAAGGCGTTTCTTTCGACAGAAAATAAGAACACTTCAGAAGGGAGAAGCAACAAGAGAATAAAATTGTAAAATACTTACATTCCTTCTCGCATTTTTCGAAGTCTTGCTTTAATGGTATGAAAGTCTGGACGATTCTCAGGTTTTTCATGCCAAGAATCTTTCATTGTATTGACAACATAATCTTGGCATTGCACGTCATAGATGGGAGGCCTGAAAGGTTCTTTGTCTTCAGGAGGAATCTGCTTCACTTTTTGGATTATCTCTAGAAAAAAAAAGTTATATATATATTGGAAAACTTCCTGTTAGGAACGAAATTTATTTGAATCCATAAGTGAATAAATAATTATGTAGCTACTTCGCGGGTCTTAACTTTGAATTTCGGATTGAGTGAAAGAATCATTTCTCCAACTCAACACAAATAATTTTATTTAGAAGGAACAACATCAGCTAGAAAATGAGTTTTGTTTGAAACAAGGCTTGGGAATATTATATAAACATATATAGTGGAAACGTTATATAAAAATGAACAGTGTATAGTACATGCTGGTTAGTTGTAAATAAAATGGGTAAATGTCTAGTTCTTAAATTAAGAGTTAGTATAGATAATTACGATAAAATATTGTAAACAGTGCTGAGAAAAAAAATTAAAATCGCATTATAGATGCTAGATATTGTCTGTATCAAATATTCATATTATTTTCTCCTCACTAATGAAAAAATAAACTCTTTAACGCCCTAAAAAAATTATTTCATTCAAACTTAGATTAAAAGGAAAAATTAACTACATTATGAATTTTGTATAAAGCAAGATTTGGAAATATTAAATAAAACATTGTTTATAAAACGTTTGTTTACAACAATACGTTACTGTCTTAGATTTAAATAAAATACTTCACACTGAACTGGTGAGTTATTTTACACTTATAAAGAACAGAATTATGATATCTAAAATACGCTTTTCAATTTAATGTTTCGCGTAACTGCAAATGAATGTCGCATTATAGCATATTTTACGCCACATGTATGCAGTATATAGTATGAAAACATTTGCCTTATATCAATATGTCATTTTGTTTAATGAAATGAGAACCATTGTTGGAAAATCGGCCTATGGTTAAACCTCCGAATGCTAGCTTTTGTCAATCCGCAATATCTCTAATAAAATCAGAGATCTCAAATTTTCTACAATACGCACAAACCGATATACAGAAAATTTGCAGATCGTTGCAACAAAATAAAAAGGTTGAGATTACCCTTCAAGACGAATAATATTTACGCTGGAACCTATGGCCGCATTTCACTCAGAATATCAGAAAACAGTAACGCTGAAACATATAAAAAAAAAAAAAATCCAAGATATTAAATCTGGCATCATTCGTGTCCCGAAGAAGAAACAGCACATCTCCAGGATATCAGTCCCAAGCATTTGTCGTATCAAATTTTAAATGAAAAGAAATAGCATCGAAAGTTACAGCTGATTGACTCATGAAGGTTCAAAAGAATGTCAAACTAAGCAAGCATGATTTCTTTAAAGGCGCCGCATCCTCAATGCTTCATTTATTGCCTTGATTATATCGTTTGAAATGACTTCGTGAAGGTCACAGTGGATTACTCACTAAGAGCGATTGCCAGGCATGCATATGCTGTACTGTTAGATAAATGGGAATGGACACGAAGCATAACAAAGTGTAGGGTGATCGATTTTCGAAGTATCGTATTCTATACTATTCCGTCTTTTCCGGTATTGAAAGAAGATTGTGCGAAACCGTTTAATTCCTTACCATAAACAGAAATATGGCACATAAGTCAATGTGCACAAAAGCGGTAACAGAAGGATTTTCTGCAGTTCCTTCCCTAAGTTCGTGAACGGTGGAGTCCGACATTAGTTTTAATCGCAAGACGCCGTGGAATGTTATACAAAAGACATGCATGCAGACCTTCCATATGCACAATAATCCAATATTTAAAAGCTTATATGCCATTTTCGGCTAGAATTCATGGAACTGATTCTTGAGATGACATTTAACAATCCGCAATTCCTGTCGTTTCATTGTTGATGATGAAGCCTCATTCTTGGAAAGACATTTTCTACACTCTCAGCGAACACGCTTGAATTGAAAGCAATTTCTAGGACACTGCCCCTATTAAAAACAAGCATAAATTTGTTATAAATATCTGGGAGTTTATTCTTGATGATTACCTGCTGGAACTTTACCTGTTGCCAGAATATCTAACCGGCGCAGCATATAGTATATTTCTGAAGCAGTACCAGTTTGTTATAGGCTATTCAGTCAACTATGTATAAGGACATGCGGAAGTATCAGCTTGAAGTACTTGAAGGAGTATCAACACACTTTACCACTATAGTCTAACACTTTCTGAATATCACATATTCCAGATTATGAATTGAAATTTGGTGGACCTGTGGCATGACCTCCACGCTAACAGGATCTAAATCCACTGCAATTCTTCTTTTACAGGCGGATGAAATCATTTGTGTACGAGATACCTGTGGACTCCGTAGAAGATCTCGTTGCGAGAATCGTTGTTGCAGCGCACAAGATAAACACAACATGAAGAAGCTACAACAGTGTCTTAAATCGCAGGGCAGGTATGAACTGTGGAACGGCATCACTGGACGCCATTCTGAGCACCTCTGTTGAATCTTAGCCTGATCCGAATGCAATTGCCCATCTTATGTTTTCGTTAGTTCTTTTTTTTTTTTCACTGATGAAAGTTGAAACCGGACATTTAATTTTAAACTTTTTTGACGCTGTGAATGGAATGGAGCCCTGGGCCTCATTGTAAATACTATGTTCCTTGATATTGTACAATCAGTCTTCGTATTTTGTTAAAAAATTAAGAACATCTTATGTATAATTATGATAAATCTTATAATATCCATGCAAAGTCTAAGATTTAACATTCTTTGAAATGGTAAATGTCTGATAAAAAGTTGGTAATTATTCAGATTATTTTTTGCCTAAAATTATTGGAAAATCCTTCACAAACTTCATGTCTTGCCATTATAAGAAATTCTGCTATTAATAACACAGATAATAATCTCATTGCCTTTCTATTAAATTCTGTCAACTACAAAATTAATAGCATTTTTAAACATTTCAGATATCAAATTATTTTTCATATATTAATAAAATTCTTTGTTAGGTCTCTAAATATTCTATTTTTGGAGAATTTTCAGTATAGTGTAACATGCATGGGAGAAAGTAAGGTTGTAGGGAATTTTCTACTTCCTTCCGCTCTTAATATAATTGGTAACAAGTCTAGCTGGCAGTCGAGAGAACTGGAGATCGATTCCCGGCCACGGTTTTGTTTATTTCTTATGTTTCCCAACCTCGAAAAATTAAAATTCTGCACGACTTATGTAGTGTGAAAAGAATCTGCGCATAAACTAAAACATTGTGGATAATAATATGTCACCACCAGGATTTGGTGACTAGGTCCCTTCCTTCTCAGCTTTCCTTTAAGTGAAGAAATATAAAAGGAAATGTCTGCTATGATTTCGGAGTGCAATTAAGATGCACATCTGGCTGGCTCTCGGAAGATCTGAAGTTCTAATCCTGGCGACACCATTGCTAATTTCTGACTTTTTCCCCACTTAAAAAGTATTTTAAAAGAGTCTGTAAGTTCCTCTTAAAATTTCGCACTGAACAAAATAACCGTATGTTATAATAGCAAAAATTATTTAATGTTCGCTAGTTATCTATACTTCAATTAGTAGGTCTATTCATCTCCAATATTAATTTTATTTCTCTTAAAACCTATCCGAAATATTTATTCAGTTGGTGAATTAATTTCCTTGAAGGCATTTAGATTCACAAAACTTTCCTTGTAAGATAATGCCATTAGTTCTAATTTAGTTTACTCAAAGGTTTTAAAATTCTGTTTTCTTAGCCTAACCATAATCTCAAATCTTTTCATTTAGATTTCTGTTCTGCTCGATAGATAATACTATGTTCATGTCGTTTTTTGGCTTCACTTCCTCATCCGGCTTCTCCATCTCATTTGGATTGGTTTTCCAACCACAACACAGAAAGTTTTCTTTGAAGAAGACCATCCAAATCGATATCGGAGCGAATTTCAAGCAAACGTTCAATTTTGCATTAGTGTGAATTTCAAATCTCTTTTACATGACAGTAACAATAAAAATTATATGCAGATGACTCTCGCATAATTTCCGTTGTATATTTGGGGTTGTGATTCAATGTTTCCTTCAAAAACGAGCATAGCATTGATCTTGATTGATAATTACGCAGCAAAATGGAACCTCGCAAAAATCGAGATAACTCAGGTTTGAATTTGTATTGCCAAAACCACTACCAATTTAAAATCATAGGACTAGAGAATTATTAAATTTTAAAAATAATCTTACAGAAAGTGATAGTGAGAAAGGTATTCAGTGATAATGAAAGCAAAACAAATAATTACATCATAAAACACAATCAAAAATCTTTTAAAAAATATTATGATTTCTTTGTAAAAGATACGGATCTAGATACTATACACTGAAATACTCAACAATAGAACGACTATAATCATCATAATGCTAACATCGAGGTTCTTAAATACATAAAGAAAACATTCCAGTCTAAATGCTGGATATATAAATTTGTAATCCACAAAAGTACATTTAGTGTAAGTGCATTTCTTTCCGTTCCCGAGAATTTGTTTATTTAACAGGAATTAATTTAAAAACTTTTGTAAAACTTTATTTGATTAACTCAGTTGGACTATTATGAGACCGGTTTACTTTATGAGACCAGTTTACCGGAGATCATTATGAAACATGGGTATTTTTGACAAATTTGTAAATTTATTACAATATCAAAGTTTTTAATCCGGCCTGTCGAATTCGTCTTATAGGTAAATGAATTTAGAAATATAATCTGTTGATTTCATTTGAATTTTTTTTTTTTAATTTGAGAAGTTTTCATATCGATTACATTAACTTAACATTAGTTCCCTACAATGATGTCTAAAAGTATACTTACTGCAGAGGACAATAAAAAAAATTGAAGGAAGCATAATGTGAAAAAAATTACCCAAAAATTTTGGACAATTGTTGGAGATCATAATAATGAAAGTAAGGGAAATTATTTTAAAATACTGATATATTATTTATTTAAAAATGTCTGGTGTTTGGCACTTAAGCCATTAGCCATTTTACTTCTAAACACACTAGGCGATGTTAAAAATTTTAAGTGCAAATCACGCGTTTAAATGTTTGTTGTGCATGGATTG